AAAAACGAACAAAGTCTATCATGTACAGTTTGTAGTTCACAGTATGCAGTTTCATAAAACTCTCTTGGAATTAAGGAGCCAGGTGGCTGTACACTGTCAATTTACTATACAGTATATACTGTTAGTGCGACTAAATAAATTACCAATGTTATGAGCCAATTATAAAGATTTATACATTTAAAGATCTTCTAAAGATTTATATAAATGATATATAGTACTATAGTTTTAAATAATATTAGTTCCCTGTACATGTACAGAGTTTTCCAAACTAAAGATTCACAAAGCTCTACTTAGTAAAATGTGGGAGCCATTATGCATTACTAGCTCCAATGGACAGCTGAGCAGTGGAAGACATGAGGCATTTTTATTCCCCATTTCAATCAAAGGGAATCTTTAAGCAGGACAGATTATGCACGTTTAGTGTGGCACTTTCATACTTATAATTAATAGTGCCATGGGATCCTTAATGACAAAGTAGTTCTAATAAACCTCAGTTTAAAATCGGAAGGATGGTACTTCATACAGTACAGTGTCTCCTCTATATATTGTAATTGTGTCTTATCTTGTGTATTCTCCTTATTTATCGTTGTATTCTTCTTATTTATTGTTATTGTCATCCTGTAAAGCGCTTTGAGAAGCCACCTTTAAAGGCGCTATATAAAATAAAGTTTATTATTGTTATTGTTATTGTTATTGTTATTGTTATTATCATTTCATAGTTCCTGAGAACTGGTGAGTTTAGGCTAGAAGGTGACAATACTGTTGTCTTAGCAGATGAAAAAATTCACAAGTGAAGTTGTCTCATATCTCATGCAAATATTATACTGGGGCTGCATCAATGCTTTTAAAGTTGTACTCTTTCAATAGGTGAACCTCTCCTCACAATCAAAGCATTTAAAGCCTTCCCTCTTACATTCTCAAAGACGTTTACCCCAGCCAACAGTTGATCAGACTGAAGAAAATATTTATTTTCTGTTCTTTTGTTACTTGTCTTTTTGTTTGCTGTTAATCCCATACAAACCACATACAATATAACACAAGCGTAGCCTAATCTTTACCTACTTGTTGTACAACACAATATCAGGAAGCCATAGGTGCCGGGCAGGTATACGTAGTTTGTCTATCCCATCATATTCTGAAGGATCCCAAGAAAGTCTGTAATCAACCCATAGCTAAGGAAACAGAAAACATTTAAAGGTCAGACTTTCTTTCATTTGTTAGCAAAGTGCATGAACCCAGGCCACAAATTAATAACACCTTGCTCACTTTAAGTGTAGCTATGTTCACACCTTTTGTGTTGCTTAGTGTAAATTATGTAATGGCAATAACATTTTACATTTATAAAGTGGCAAAGAGTCACTTCTAGTCACCAAGTTAAGTGACCTCTTTGGGATTCAGGCAAATGATCACTTTACAAAACAGTTACTGTATCTGTTAAGTGCCATTTTGTATAGCTATGTTTGTTTCTTTTTCATCAAAATGATATTCAGATAAAAACCCCGAACTAAAATATGACACTGCATAATACAGAAAACAACATCTGTAACATCAAATATTACATAATTCATTTGATTAAAAATATATTTTTTCACAATATCTGTTAATGTGTGGTGATATGCCTCTGGATGATGAATGACAAGACACTAATTCAAAGGAATCATATTAAACCACATGTGAATTTAAGTTTAATAGACTGATCATTGAATCTTGCACTTTGATCTTCATACATACCTGGTTTAGCCAGACATTTGTGGTCATGATTTGTTCTCTCTCATTCTGAGGATGGAGAAGACAGCCACATTAATCAGATTTACAGACAAAAACCACTGGAAAAGTCTTTAATAACAATTACTTGAATACAAATTGAATAAAAAAGTACACATAATCTCCTGTTATAAATGCCCAGCCCACCTCCTTTTAGTCTCACCAGCAGAAAAGGAAAGAGCCTTACACACTTTCCTTTCCTTTTAGAAATGCCTGTCCAGAACGTTTTAAACCAGTGCCCACAATCACACCAGAAGGCGGCTGAGCACTTCCTGTACTGGCTGGGCTTTATTCATTCAGGGTTCTCTGTTTCCTCTGGATCCCTCATTTGCTGTCTGATACAACAGCAACTCTTGCGACCTGACAGGTGTCTTAAAATTAATAAGGTGAGTTTACAGTGATACATTTTCACTGCTCATCCAAATGGTTGCTCTCTCTCCTGTAAAAAACTGTATTTTATGACAGTATGTCAAAAGGATTAATGCTTAACAGTTAAGTATATAGGAGGAATGTGTCCATAGGTCCTCTAAAGCTGTATGTCTCCATCAGTGTTTGTTGTCATACAGTACATCTTATCTGATAAATAGCTGGAGATTATAAAAGGGATTGCTAAGAAACAGAGAATAACTGACAAATCCAATTTTGAAAAAAAATTCAGATGGGTGGCAAATAATCTGAACTGAAAAGAATGAAAAAAATTAATCATACGCAATATATTATTCAATAAAGTGAGAGGCGAGAGAAGAAATAAAAATCTATACTGACTGAAGCAGATCCTAATCAGCCTTATGTGGAGGTGCAGGACAAGAGCAAAGCTGGTACCCCGACGTACTGATTGATGTGACAGTTTTCAGTGAAAAACAAAAAGGTACTCATAAATATTGCACACGCACCAACCGCTGTGCTTCTAAAGCTTGTCAAGCAATCATAAACCAGGCGGAGAAGTCCTTCAGCTTGTTCATGTGTTTTCAAATGAAATCCTAAAGTTTCTATTTGCTTCCTTAAAAGCAGAAGGCCTGGCAGGGTGAGAAGTCCACCAACATAGAGTCTGCTGCTGGGCCTGCTTACCACGCTGATGAGCTGAGCCAAAGACACCTGCAAGGTGATGGTCACTCGCTCTGAGCTGTTTACGGCTGGGCGAATCAGCTTGTTGTAGCGATCCTTGCCAAGGAGGCAGTTCATAAGCCTTTCCTCTGCATCTGCCGAGCTGCACTCTGCAAAAAACAAATATTGTTATTATAAGATCAAGAACTGAAAGTTATCTTCTAATAATACCAACGAGATCATTTTAATATCTGCAAAACCACGACTGTGACATTGTTGCAGGGTCTTGTTTGTTGTTCGTTATATAATAATGATACGTGATTATACAGTACAACAAGAATATTATATAATGGCTTCTTCCAATATGCAGTAGATTTGTAGCTTCACAACATATATAAAACGTACTATACTGTACATACTCAGTCGACTTTGTTTTAAAATTAAAATGTTAGGAACAGTTTTGAGTTTCTAGACATGTTATATTTCAAGATTTAAAGTAATGAGCTAACCCTGTCACTTGAGCAATTATTATACATTACAAATTGATTCCAGTTTCTCTGAAAGTGTAAAAACCAACGATAATAAAGTCGTTTATTCTGGCATTTGGCATGCCTGTCAACTGCTTGTCAAGAATAATTGTATTGTTTTTTTCAATAATTACAGACTAATCACGTTATATTAGGGCTAGTTAATATTCTGTTAAAAAAGTATTGTATGAATTAGAACATGAACTTCACAAAAGGTCCTTTGAATTCTAATTCACAGAATTAACAGAAATGTTAGATCCAAAATGGAACTGTCCACCATCATGCAGAATTCATTTTGCATGGCGCGAGCAGAACTCACTGTATTCTGAGGAGCGGTGTCACAGATAGGGATGACCCCTCAAATAAGAATTATTCCTGCCTCACATACGACTATGCCACCCAGCAATTATAAAGGGTGCTAGGTCCCTTACTTCCTTGCTGCAGGTCCTATGCATCCTGCTAGAATCACCAGTGCATCCACAGACCACACTAGAGAGTTAAAATATCATATGTGCTATTTATTTACAGCAAAGAATCTTCCCTTCACATAAAACCCTTCCTATAACACAGGCTTCCTATGACCAATAGCTCAATACACAAATCACATGACACAGCATACCCATAGAGTTATCCAGCACCCCAGTTTCCAGAAAATGGCCCACATTATTCTCTGAGTTCAGAGGCCTGGTGTGTCTCATTATGCCACAGCAAAGGGACAGGGAAATTCCAGACTTCCTCCTCAGTCCTGACTGAGTCAATCACTAATCTGTTTGTCTCCGAGTCCGGTTTGGGGTAGAAGGGGGAGACATACAGTATGAAGCTGGGGTCTTGCTCTACTGCCCCTAGTCCCTGCCATCTGAGTGTTCTCCTGGGTCCAACTGCCACAATTTGTGCCACAAACTTTCCCTTTTCCAAAGGTGTCAATTTTCTGTCCCGACTGGGGCTTTTCTGCCTTCGAAACAAAAGGCTCTTAACCTGGGAGTAAGCTTTGAGTGCTTCTTCAGGAACTGGCTGCAGATACTGTATACTGATGCAGCATTCTGTCTCATCCCACTCTCGGGCCTACCTCCCAATCACAGGTCCACTCAAAACTGTACTCCCCATTGTACTGTATGTTACCTGCTGAAAGGTGTAGTAATTGTCCAGTGTCTGTGTTAAGAGGGCCTTTGATCAGGGCAGGAACTCAAAGAATAGGGCATGAAACTGAATCAACATCAAGATGTCACTGGTGGATCAATGCAGCCCACATCGGCACCAAACACCCATTCTTTCTAGTCTGTGACAGTAGCACTCTGTGTTTCTGAAGCTGGAAATGCAGGTGATGAGCAACACCGAGTGCAAAAGCAAATTAGAGTTTAAGAGCTTATCAATAAGCATGTATCAGTACATAAATTGAAATGTATTGTATATACTACTGTATATGTACTGTACTATAGGATATATCAAATGAAAATTCTACCTAGAATCACAGTCTCAAAAAAGATAATATGAAATTAAGAAAAGTGAAAATATCCATTATAACAGTATGTGAAACACATTGTCTATCAAAATACGGACAGTAATTGATTCCATAAAACAAGCAAGTTACTTAGGTCTTTAACAAACATCTTGTATCTAGATTTGTATTGCTATAGTTGATCTAAATAGCAGCATATGGGAAATCCAGAGCTCAAATTAATCTTGTACTGACAGCAAATGTCAAGACAGGTTATTATAACCTTCTTTTGGGCTGACATGTCTTTATTTCACTTTTTAACTTTATAGCGTGTATTTTACTACCCTGTCTCATGACTTGTTGCTGACACAGCAGCCATGCCTGGTTCCTGAAATGAAGCACTGCATCAAAATGAGCAAACAGCAGCCTGCAGTACAATGTTTGAAACAGTTCTCTACCACACCAGTTTTTAACTATTACTGGATGATGACCACTTCTTTAACAGTAACACTTTGCAACTTCTGCAAATCAGACTTATTGTCAGATCACTTTTTTTTGTTCATCTTAACTATTGTGCCTCAATGTAACTGAATTGCTCACCTACAGTATAACATCTTCCCAATCCATTAGTTCTACAAAATAGACCATTTTGTCAGCTTTAAAAACTGTAGGACAGTTACATTTTTCTTGAATTACACATTTAAAATTAACACCAATCTCAATTTATGTCTTGCTATACTTACAGTACATTTAAATCGTTGGAACATGGAGAATACCTGTATTCTCTAAATATACAGGTAGGTACTGAAATTACTGTGCATATGTAAGCCGTAATTATATACTGCATTTGAAAATAAAAAAGATAAAAATGTCCTATTAATTACCCCTCTCTTTACCCTTTTGTACAATAGCTTGTAAAAGGTACAACATTGTGTTCTTGGCAGCAGGTTTGAATAATTAACATGCAAATACTTTACTCACAAGTATTACTATTAAGGAGTTTTTCTATTTAAGGGCAATGGTTGGATAATTTTGGGTCGCATCTGCTCAGGCTAGCAGAAAAGAGGAATACAGTAGGAGGTGGTTAGAAAGCCTGGTCTTGGAACAGATCTCTGTGAAAAGACAGAACGCCAGTTTAGTGAGAGAAGGGGGCAAGTAGCTCAGGGAGGAGGAGAAGGAATGATAAAGAGATCTAGAAAAAAAGATTTAGCGGAAGGCATAGTAGGTCACAGCGGAAATGTTTACAACCTGAAGACATGTAAGTCAAGTTTACATCTGAAGAATACTCCACAACTAAAAATATGTCTCTTTTACTTTCAGAATAGGATAAACCTTTACCTTTGACTTTTTTTTTAATTAGGCAACGTACTAAGCTAACAGACCTCTTTGGCCCTTACACTATCTTGGTCAAACTCTAATTTATGTGACATGATGGAGAAGTTTACAGGGATACGGCATTTAGAGTCGGTTTGGTGTAACCCGCCTGGCTGAGGAAGTGATGACCTCATCATGAGGTCAAGGCTGAAAGAAGCCCTCCTGCTTTGCGAGGTGTGAGCCAGGGAACCACTGAAAGGTGAACGTGGGGTTGGGGGGAGGGGAGGGAGAGATGCACAAAAGGGTGCTCAACAGGCAGGATATTTATGCGTAAGACACCAGTGAAATTAAAGCTGGACCTCCTTCTGAACCTCCATTTAAAACCACCATCGTGGCTTTAAAACCTTAGTATTACGTACACGCTATCTGAGGTGAAAGGAGCACATCACACTGACAACTGCATGACCCAACAGCACCAATGGAATGACAGATGTTCTGAATCATTGTGCACTGTAATCACAGACAACCCAACACTCACCTTAAATAAAATCTGGTAATTACTTCCTGTAGTTAATGGTCACCGTGGTGTTTCATTATTCCAAAAATCAATAGTGATTTACATAACCTCCAGTACTTTTGTATGTGCATTGTCCCTGTGGTCTTAAAATTTTAGTGCTAATTTTGAAAATGGTACTCGAAAGCTCACCTTGATTGATGGAAAGGAGTTACCCCTTGTCATTTTGAGGCTATTTTGACAGTATAATGATCTACAGCACCAGCTGCAAGCAGATGGCATATACTGCTGTGTAGATAAAGCCAAAGACAGTGTCTTCTTTGGAATTCTGTGTAAAGTATGTATTTTTTATTATTATGGGCTGATATTATACCTCCATTTTTCAGTCAGTCCTCTCATTTTGTAAATGCACAAATTACAATTGCAATTAATTCTTAATTACTTACTACTAGACCATTTTTATTGTAATAAAGGAAAAAAATCCAACCCTCATGTAAAATATGAAACATTTAATCAAGTTACAAATTATATTTGCCCACTCTGTGGTGTACTGACTACTATACCATAGGTCTCTCCATTTAGCACTGCCCCTTTATACATTGTATGGTCTTCCTAGTGTTAGCATGTAAAGTTTAAAGAGCACATTTAATCTCTTTTTATAAAACTGTTAACCAGCTCACATATTCTGAGGGAGTTTCAATAGTTAGCTCACTTCACTGGTCATTTTAGAGTTAACAGAAGTTCCTGTGGAAGAAAATGTAACATTTAAAAATACAGCAGTTTCTGGTGTAGCCTGCATGTGACCTCTTTGCTTTCAGCAAAAAATAATTTTATTTAGATCTTAAAAAATCAGAGACTAACTAGTCAATATTATGAAGTTATTTCACTTTCAGCGTTGTATTTTATTGAACCTAGTGTACAAATGTATACATTGTACTGTTACTGTACTTACAGTAGGACATGCATATAATATGAAAATCAAAATCATAACATACAAATTCTATTTTCTTAAATGCTACTATGAACACATTTACAATGTGCTTTGATTTGAGTCAAACCTGTATTCCTTGTTCTCCAGAAGTTGATGTTAATGTCCAAGGAAGGAAAATGTGAAAACAGAATTAACTAGATTATATATCTTATTAACTAGACATTATTAGACATCTACTTTACTAAGGGGGTATTGGATACAACTGGAAAAAGAGGAACAACCGATACTGGAGTTTTTCTTTACCTGTTATGTTGCATACATTGCTGAACTTATTATTGATAAGAGTTACATCAAACCAAGTTGTTGTATATTTATACACACCAATGCTTCACATAGAAGAAAATATAGCCTCTAAAATGTTTTATTTTATTAGTATTATTGTGGGGTTGTGTATTGCTTATGTTTATAGTTTAAGAGGAATTTACAAAAAGGCCTGTTCGCGTAGCTACCTGTACTACTGTACATCACGGTACAAGTCCAACCTGACTTTATCTTTTGGATGTATAACAGCGTCTTTATACCAAAACTGACACATCTTTTTACAGAAAAGGCCTAGATTTCTCCACGTTATTGGGACATTTCTATAGAAAACTTTAGATAATTTCCATATACTATGGTTCCATATACTGTGAAACGGAACTCAAACAAGGTGTTAATCCCGTTTTGAAAACTGCTTCGCCAAATTATAAACTGCAAACGGTGAACTATACATCCCCACCACCTTTACATCTGTTCTTCCACAGCTACCCTGAATCTCCCCGAAGCAGCCAGAGAGCGCTATGAGCGCTATCTAGTTTTACGCCTTAGGGGACAGGTTCTGTAGTTTGGTTCACTAAGCTTTGTATTATTAGGAGATTGCGTTTTACAACGAAAGACTGTTACACAGTATTGTTTAATTTTAGGGGAAATGGCTGCAATAGCCTTTTCGTATCCTCGGGAAACTGCAATAGCCTAGGCGAGTGCACACTGGTGTGCCTTGACCCGAGCCATATGACATACTGTACATACTGTACTGTATTCAAGTGTAGAATCACCTACAGTACTCGTGTTTTCAAACTGTTCCCAAACAGTAAAAAATTAAAAACTTTCCGTGCAACGGCTATTTGCACATTCAAATCACTGTCTCAAAACTTTCCATTAAATACCAAGGCAATCACTAACAACGAAACATATACGGTACAGTACTGGTATATGTACAGTAATATCATTAGGGCATACAGTACCTGGGCTATTTTAGTTTGAGCATTTTACAAATGTTACATTTTAATACAAATAAAAATGCATTAATCGATGTAAAGAAGATAAGCATAAAATTGCATTGTACTCACTTTTAATCAAAGTTAAGAAGCAAACACAGAGTGCAAGAGTCCGTTTCATAGTTGGTGCCATGAAATCTATTCCTCTTAGACGCAGCCCCATTCGATTACCTTAAAAATAAGCATGCCGTGCATATTTAACTGATGGGTGCTAAGCACAAAAAGGGCGATCCATCCCACTCGGTACAAGCTAAAGCCAGAACTCTTTCTTCTTTTGAAGTTTGTTAGCGTTTCATGTCTGTTGGTAAATGAAAGCGCAGGGGGAAAAAGCAGTTGTCATGCGCGGGGAATCAGCTAGAGATCTCCATGGGGTTCCGCTCCAAGTCTCCGGTGCTCTGCAATGGCACCCCCTCTTACACATCTCCGGCTCTGTGACTGGTGACCGCCGTACACACCCTAGATACCCTGCGTTAAATTATTGTCTCCCGTTATTTTGTGTAATATCTCCCGCTAAACTTTCTGCTTTACCCGTAGTTCTGAAAATTAATACCAGCTTCGGCTGAAATAAATAAAGAGACCACCAGGCAACTCTAAATACTTAGAATAAGAATGCCACTATCTCGCCTATTATCGTAACTTTTCCTCTGATGCGTAATCAATGTTAGCATTTTTAACAGTTCATATGTGGTTATTTCAGAATGAACTGGTCCAGCTTCAATGCCATAATTTAACAAGGAAAGTAATTCTGTCTGTAAAGCAAGAGAAAGCGCCATTCCGTGAGCTACAGTAACTGAGCGATGTGAATCAATAGTGTTGGTAAGAATGATTATTTTATAGTATGCAAATCACAACCACACTTTGATCATTTTTACTTCAATAGAAATGTATACGAATTGATTTTCTGATGATACTAAATGCTGACTGAATATTAGCGTTATTTCCTAAATTTCATTTTTGTCTGCAAGATGCAAAGCATTACACAACTATAGGACAAAGGAACACTGTCAAGATTTCATTCTTAAGGAATAAAAATCAAATACATAAAATTTGTTGGTTTAAAAAATCTTAACGGTTTTTTTTTCTTTTTATACTAACTTTAAACACATATAAGGCTGCATATTACACTTCATGGTCTATAGTTCAACTATATTTCCCTCCTCATCTGATTTCAAAGATGTTGAGAAACCATCCAATTTTGTTTAACAATCAGGTCATATCCACTATTAGAAGTTTATTGAAATACTTCACTGGAAAAAAAACCCAGTTTTGATTAATTATGGGTCTTGGGGAGTCAGAATGTATGCTGATTCCCAGTGACATCAAGTACGGAAACCTACTGAAAATTTGAATATTTATTTCTGTGAGATTTGCCAGTTTCATGTTTTGCAGGCTGATGCTGGTTTTTCTGCTCTTTCTAGGCCAGTCTAAACTATACAGTACAGTATATGTTATTGGAAGGCAAATAAATTTAAAATTTGGGCATATAGCTGTCAAAGCTGGCAAGGTGAAGCTGGTAAAAAAAACACAATGCAAAGCTTCAGTTTAAGAAGAAGGAAAGTCTAAAGTTTTCATTAAATTCTATTATATAATTTTATGGTGGCCCTGGATCTTTATCTCACATTGTTAGTTTCTGCACTATTTTCCTTCATACATTTTATGACAGAAACAATAAAAAATCAATTATGTCTATGTTTATTCATATTTTTTTATATTTTATATTACATCTTCTAATGTAATTTAATATTTATCATGTTTGTTTCACGTTTGGTGGATACGGCAGGGGGACCTAAAGTAAATACTCATATTGTGGGTAAAGTACTTGCATTTTGGTCCCAAATGATCTTTAAATTGGTTAAAATGAATAAATCACCTACTATGCTATTCACAATGTTCAATGTCTTTAGAAAATGATGATTTAATATTGACTTGTGCTGATGTACTTTGACTCTCCAGGACCATGGGTTTGTTAAGCAATGGGATTAAAATATTTATACCTGCTGGGTAAAACAATGAGATATGAAGGTACACTTGCAGAATCTCTTAAAAATACCTCATCATAAAACTATATCCTCATTCTTGTTTCTCTCTAGAATATTCCGTAGTTTTAAAAAAAAAATCAAGAACACCATCTAGTTGCTTTTATGTAGGATATCAGGTTTCCAAGACCAGAAGCTGTTTAAAGAGGAGCTGTTTGTATAAAAGAGACAAACTGCTTTGGAGACTGGGCATGTTATTGGCAGGAGCAATACAGTTTGAAAACAGTCTGAAAAAAGGAGCGTTAGTTGGTTCTGATAGTCTATTAGCACAGTATAACCTACCATCCGCATTCTCGCTTTCCTATTTTCTCCTAACTGAGGTACGGGAGAGATAACCACGACAACTCAACCACTCACAGCTGTACCAAATCACCATCTTTATGGAAATTAGCTCTATGTATCAAACACAAACACTTCCCTTCAGATTAGTCTCAAGCATCCCTCCTCCACCTCATCTCCGCCTGGAAGCAGCCCCTTGTTTCATTCCTCTCTGAACGGGGTCCGAACCTCCTCGTCCTGTGGCCAGGAGGCTGCCCATTAACCATGAGTGTTAAGACAAACCCCTCTCACCAGATATTCTAAAGGTTCCTAAAGCACGACAGAATTCATTTCTTGGTTCTAGTTGTTCCTTGTGAACTATGAGAGGGTACACAAGATGAATCTCTAAATCTGACCTTTATAGGAGAAGTGTTGTAACTCTTCTTCACCCTCTCTACACCACAGCCTTTTCTTGATTCCTTCAGTTAGATTACATTTAATGTGGCTAATGTAAAGACTAATACCTTCTTCTAATATTCTCTGTAGTTTAGAATAAGGAGAACATATTGTAGATCTTGCTCAAAAGTATTACGCCTTTTCATACAATGAACTGTATAAGATTTAATTGTACTCCCTATACTGTACTTTATTACTGGGGTTTCGTGAGGCTATTGGCAAGGTCTGATGTAAACAACTCTTCAAATATAGCATTTGTGTAGTCCCATGGCATTATTGCCTCCTACAAAAATACTATTACAATTTTACACAACTAACTGTAAGTAACCATTGTTATCTTCAATATTCCTAAAATAATTCATATACTGTTCTACAGTATATCTTGTGTGATCCATTTCCTAATTTGGTAGAGGAAATATGTCATTTGATTACAGACAACATAAAACTGCTTACAAACATATAATAATTGAATATTAAAAGTGTATCCAGATTTTGTTTGGAAAGTTAATGGAATTTCACAATCATATTGACTCTAAACAATTCACTATATTATTTGCATTTCATCTTTATGTCAGGGTGCCTTTATGGTCACTGAAAGATACTATGTCATGTAATTCATTGGGAAGCCTTTGTAATGATCTTTAAGACAGTAATTCATGGTGAAGCAAACATTGTGTTTTAAAGACTGTTGTTGTGGAGAAAGTACTGCTTTACTTAGATTCTTAAAACACTCACATGAATGGCACAATTTACTTTGTTTAGAGCTCCTTCACTGAGATTTTGAAATGGGCTTTTTTATCTTGAAATTGGCTCCCTGTTTAATTATTCTAAGCACTGTTTACGATTTATTGAGATGCAAGTTGGGAAATATACAATCTCAGCAATATTTAAGCAAGTTACAAACACATTGGCAGTAAGCCACAGTTCCCATTCTAATCAGAGCAGAATACTGCCCTAACCTGTTTCTCAGGCTTAAATTAAGAATTTAAACTCTCCTCATTAACTGTTTCTCCTTCTGAAACATTGCACTTACTGCAACATGTTGTTTACCAGCAAAACAATTCTGATTCCTTAATATGTATAATACTGTATGTACTCATCGGTCTAACTCAGTTTTAAATGTGATAGCTTTCAGTTCAGATGAAAGTCTACAACTGAGGAACATTGCCCAGAAATCTCAGATCTTTAAGGTTTAAGCATATTTTCTCTAAGGAATTCCTTTATGACAGTAAATCATAGATTGTCCACATGTCACATAATTTGATCACTCTAAGGAGACATACACTCTAAGGAGACATCATATTCTGGGTTGACAGCAAATAAAGTTTCCTGAATCGTGAAAGATTTCAGTGGCATTTGCAAACAGAGATGGTAACATACTGCAAAACTGCTGTTATAAAGCCTTGTGGAAGGAGGCCCAGAAACATGTGATAACTCCTTGCTTTTACCAGCATACACCCCACACTGAGCTTTATGGCGATCTTCATAAATCTAATTTTATGAGCTTCTTGTAGTGCCAAGTCTTTCTTTTCTAAGGCTCATAACAGACTAGTGTGAATCAGGTCTTCATAAGTCGAATGTTTTCTATATAGCTGTCAACTTCAGAGCACAAATCACTTTCACCACCTCCCAAATGGTTAAGAAAATACGTTTTAATGCAATAATTGAACGGTAATTTTCAAAACACACATTCTGCATTTAATGATCTTCACAAAATCCACTGAAAACATATATTAAAGTATATATTACATATAATAATATATAATTCATAAAACAATTAATAAATAAAACATAATATTTAATTCTCAAGGAAGGAATGGAAAGTTTTTGTAATGCTTGATGTTTTATAATGGGCACTGTACCTCTTTCTGTACAATCCTTCCTGTAAGGAAGTATTTTTTAGCTTTTTATGATATATTTTTAGTCTTCTTATGTAATAAATCCAAAATCAGTAAACCATTTCTGGAGTAGAACTTTTACCTAATATTAAAACAATACTGTATAATGATATTCAAAAAAGATCACTCTTCATGCAGGAATGTTTTTAGAAAAATAACGTATCCATATTTTGAATATTAATTAAATGTGTTTGGCATTGTTTTGATATCATTCATATCAGACTGATCTGAAAGCACTCAGCCACCTCCTTTCTGAGAAAGGGGATTAGGCATACAGTAGGTGGTGATTTGATTTAACCGGTTGAATGTTACATATTCAAGAGGAAGAATACAGAAAATAATTTCTATCCTGCTAATCACAAAAACAATGCTTTTGTGTCACCAGAATGATGCAAGCTAAACTAAGTCACCTTAAGTGGACTAGTGGACTGGCCAAGAGTAAAGTCATTTTTATTGATTAATCAAAGTTTTGTTTAGACCAATGTAATGCATTTGAAAAAGCTATTTTGATTCCTCAGGGGTTTTCTGTAGTTGGTCAGTGAAAGAATGTCGTTGATTGTAAAATGGTATACATAGCTTTGTGAATTAAAACTATTTTTAAATTGCAAACCCATCGCCTTGCTAACTAATCCGCTCGTGTCAATACATAACGCCCACCCTGATGAACATCAGTGGGAATGACACAGACATGGAGAATAATATGCTGTTGTCCGTTGTACACAAT